TTGAAAAGGTTAGAGCCCTGTGAAAGACCTTCCTGGTTAGGTTAGAGGCAACATATCTTTTTGAACTTTCGCCAGCCAGTGAACGCACAGTTATCTCACCAGAAATGTTACCCTGTACGTAGTGAGCTTCTCAGGGAACTTTCTCAAACTCTTTTGTCGTGTAAAATACTCTAGAAAATGACTACGTACAGGATTGTTTGAGATACAATTGGTCACGAGCTGACTTAGGTCCAGAGGGAAGGTTGGTTCTGGCTCGGTCCGAATTTGTAACTGTTTTACATCACGTAGGGCAGTAGTTGTGCTTAAAGGCAGCGGTCACGATATTGTTGCTGAAAATGAAGGTTGAGGTGAATTTTGATTTTATTTTGCGACAGTGAAGAAGAAACCTGATAAAACTGCCCAAGCGGGAATTCTGACCTCAAGTTTGTTGCTTTTGAACAGCTGACAAGCTTGTGGCCAAGGAAGTGCGCGTCTTGACGAGGGTACTGCGACACAAAACGATATCAGATAGGGGCTCGGGGCGAAATACATTGAGGTGCATTTCCATCGATAACAGTAACGATAAAGCGAGCATGATTAGTCCGCTTGGAGACGGAGTCACTCTTGATTTTAGAGTTTAACCACATTTGCTCGTAGCGAGCCATGAGTGGAAAAACCTCGCCCTCCGTTTTATTTGACGCCTGGCTTCCGTTTTTATTGGCGCATCAGTGCCCCTGTTGCGCACTCGAATAATCGCACTGGTTGCCTTTAAGCCCCAAACACCATTAACGGTTTGGCGTGACTTATGACCTGTTTGAATTTTGCCAGATTTCTGGTTTTTCAGCATCGTCGTGCTCTTTTTGAAGTAACTATGTTAAAGTAACAATTTCAGAATGATAAACACAGGTTTGTAACTTGCATTGATTTGAATTCTATTACTCTCTTTTTTATTAATTACGACTCGTTACAGACTCGCCGAGATGGTTCGAATGATCACACAGTTTTGCCCGTTTTCAGTAACAAGGATCCTCTAACTAACCCGTGAGTCGCTCAGATTTTTGACTTGGTAGCTTCTGATTGTGTGCCGACCCATTTGTCATAATGTCATTGACATCATAGACGATCTCAGCTGTCAAATTCTCACTCGTAGTAAGGTAAGGGTTGGTGTGTCTGAAGAGCAGTTTTTTTTATGATGAACTATTGGTTTGAATTTTACTCCGTATTAGTCTCCTTCTTTGTGCATGGGACATAAGCTTGAACAGCATAGGCTTTTACATCGGTTCAGCTGACAAAGATGTTTTATCTGTTCGTCCTAAATTAATAAAATATCGATTATTTCAGAACCAGTTCTAACGAAGCAACGCCCCCTTCCAGTCAAACTACTCCTACAAAAGTTTCAAATGTGAATAAGTATGTGATTTCCGTTCATTTTTTTGTAAACTTTTTTCTTAAATGTCGAGGGCTTATGCGTACGCATTCCGTATATTACGCAATTCCACACTAATTTACCACATCCACGCCACGCCCCTTTCCGCTTCGAATGCATATCAGTAGGGCATTCTTGAGGTCCATTGTTGCCCTTTCCGTTCGAAGCACTTAAAGTTAAAGTATCCATGGGGTCGCAAATGTTTTAAAAAGAAGGGAGCATCTATTGATGCTGCAGTTTTGAAGGTTAGTCAATTTCGATATCAGTGAAAGCATTTTGAGGGTTGCAGCAGTCGTTTTTCGGCGAATATATCGTTTTGGAACAAATTGTCAAGTGGGAAAGCATTACTCCTGTCGTGGTCTACCATGTATTATCACAGGGGAAAAAAAAAAAAAGCGTGAGCGCAAAGTTTGGCAAAATGGGGCTAGAGTGTTTGGCAACATGAGTTCCACTATTGCTTCCAGTGTGACACCTCGCTCTCGTAGAAATAACTGGAGTCCGTCTGACCCGTCGTTCAGTCCGTCAAGCCGACGCAAACAAAATCTCAATGCTGTGACGGATGATTTGGATGATGTCACGGTCTGTTGCTTCGAAATAACGATCAGTTTACGAGTACGCGCCGGCACTTGACAGCTATCTTGTCTGTAATGTGCATGATCCTGTTATAGCTCTTGATGTTAAGTATTTGTTCAAACGTAGGTTAAGCTGGGCAAGCGGGGTGGTTTGGCGATGCGTTCCTGTAATCTCTCTGGCGCTCAAAAACATTTGTTTTTCTCATCGCTGAGGCAGCTTGATCCAAACGAGCCTGACGGAAAGCATGTGTGCTCGCAATGTAAGGAAGTCGTACCCAAATCTGAAAGTGAGTGCTCAAATTTTCGTTCTGTTTTTTATGTTTGACCCGTTTGAAGATGTATCCAAAAAGCGTAGTCCATGCTGGCTAATTGCTCAGAACGTTCAGATGTCGGTCAGACTCTGCGATTGCATCGCTATGGACCAGTGCCGGAGCGAGCGATCGCTCCATCGCGGTGGACAAGCGATGGAGCGATCGCGTCGCTCCGGCACTGGTCCATCGCGATGCAATCGCAGAGTCTGACCGACATCTCACTGTTTTGGGGTAGGTAGTCAAATTTGGCCATGATAAGCAGCGCAGAAACGGTAAAAAAAATTTCGAAGTAAAGCTTGGGTACGTTGCCTAGTGGAGGAATATAGGAATCACTATACTATTACTGTGGTACATGCTCTGTTGATGCGAATGGCCGTGGAACAACCAGCCAGAAATTAAATTGAACTCATGGCTACGTTGAAAGTAAGAATGTCACTGTATTTAATCCGTGCTGTGGCAGCGCTCAGTGTGCAGTTAGTGTAGTTTCACGCTAACCTTTCACGTCGACGTTTGTGGAATCTGATAATGGCGCGCTGCGCAAGAGGCAGAGCTGTAATTTGGTCTGTGTCTTGAGGCTGCTACGTCGAACTAGGCAACGTCGACGTGCCATGGAGAGTCACTGTGTCATCAGACCGCACCTTAACGCCGGGTAACTGCTCACGAGTCAGAGGGTTATAAACTGTTTATTTCAATTTCTTTTCAAGTCGCATTAGGACACAAAGGAGCGCGGTCCGCTCATTATATGAACCATTGTTTTGGTCGCGCTTTTACGAAACTTCAACGATATTCGGAAAGCGTGTGTAGGGAGCGAAAGCCTCAAAGGTGTTGAGGGTAGTCGTTGGACATCGAACGTTGGTAAAAATTAGGTAAAACATTTGTTGGGGTCAGATATGCCTAAAACTGTTGAGAAGGCCACTATTGAATTAGTCATAACTTATTTGTGGTTTTAATACGCAAGGTTGGAAACTCCTGAAAAATAGTTAATGGGGTTCCGCAAAACATAGCTGTTCCTCGGTAGCACATAGCAACATAGCCGCTTCCCTTCTTCTACCTTCTTCCATACAACGAAAATGACCCGTTTTCCGTTCGGATTGTGGTATGGAATTCAGAGTGGGTTCTTCTCGATAACCTGTGAACTTTGGCTGAGAAGTTCGATTACGACTAGAAGTCAGCAAAACTTTGCAAAATGTGACCGCACCAAGCGAGGATTGTGCTGGCTGTTACGCGATCTACAGTAGGCACACCTCTCCGAGCTTAGGTGGAACTGTTATGGTGGCACAGTATTCTTTTCAAGGTGTCAATACCTTGGAACCTTGACGTATGTGCACAGGAAGGCCTGCCATAGCCTTCAAAGCGAACTGTTGCGAAACGTAACATTATGATGAACCACCTTCACCGAATTCATCACCTTTAGAACCTCAGTATTTTCGGCAAACAAGGTGATAAACTACTATAATGTTGGCAAGGATGAGTAGATTGCAATGATTTTTACAAAAACGAAAGTGTTCTATGTGTCGAGATATGCACACTTGAACCTCAGGGTCCGGAATGGCAAGAACCTTTCTACAACCTATCATATACTTTTATTTGCCCCTACGTCCTGTTATTCATCTTGCATTTTTCCGTTTTTTGCCATTCCATGTAGGCTGTCCTCAATATTTTTGATTTTTCTTTTTATTTTGTTCATTTTTTTATTTTTCATGCATGCACTGACCTGAAGGAACACGTAAGAGGGAACGTATAAGAGGGGATGGAAAGGTAAGAAAAGAACTTGAGCGACGCAGGGGCCAGAAACAATCTTTGCTTTCTGAGGTACAAAAAATGGAAAGAAAATACCATTAAGGTAGGAAGCTACACTTGACTGGCTGAATAGTAAGGGAGAGATATCAAGACGTCTCCAGTTTAGCAACCTCAACAGCAAGCGTTACCTTGCAGCGCCTCGCCATGAAAGAAAACATGAAAAAGGAACGGGAAAGTTGGGTCAGTCTGGTCAACGCAACTAAACGAAGCTATTCCGAGGGAGCCAAGGAAGTTGCCTCTTTTCTTACCTCGGGCGTAAAAACCAGACCCAAGTGACAGTAGAATAAACTTGTGCCAACTGTTGACCATACTATCATGAACTGAAAAAGGAGCGTCATAGAGTGAGGAATGCCAACCTACAGACGGTATGG